CTCATTTGAAAAGGCATCACCCGAATGTGAATATCACCGGTACCAAAAGAAAAAAGACTGAAGTGCAAACCCAACTCCCACTAGCATTTAAGCCTCCACCACTCGCAAAGAGTTCAGACCGAGCCAAAGCTATTACAAATGCCAAATATCCTTATGTTGCCATGTTAGCAAAGCGCTACCTGGCTGTGCTACCTCTGTCCCTAGAGAGGGTGTTCTCCACAGCAGGAGACATTGTTAGTGCCAGCAGATCTGCCATTTCAGCAAGCAATGTGGACAAGTTCATCTTTCTTTAAACAACATGAAATACAATGACAAGCAAGTCCTAATGTCAAGCTGGCTGCTTAGGTACTAGTACAGTTCAAATACAGATTATTTCAGTTCATCGAAATGCTGCACCTTAATGTTTATTTTACTATATTTTGTATTTATTTGAATACATTAGTCACAGTTTAATAATAATAAAAAAAATGTTTTTAATGTTTTGTGATAATTTTTTCTGCTGTACCGAAAAACGTACCGAACCGAACCGTGACCTAAAAACGAGGTACGTACCGAACCGAAATGTTTGTGAACCGTTACACCCCTACAATCAATGTTAACTTGGAAAGCCACAATATTAATATTTTAACTCAATCACATAGGTGATATTATTGTGGCACATCAGTAAAGCCTTACATATAAGGTGGCAGACGTAATTTAATGAATTTTAAACTGAACAATAACTGAATGAGTTTGTCTCACTCTTAGACCAGCAGGGGAACCAAATCTATGCAGACTGCTGCAATAAGTACATTAATTAACTGTCTCATCGATGTTTGTCTGAATGAATATGATACTATTAACAATCATATTATTCCTATCAGCTGTACAATAATGTATAATAATAATAATAGATTTAATTTGTTAGCGTTTTTACAGGTGCTCAAAGACGCTTTACAGATATAGTGAAGAACTGTTATGATTCACATATTCATTTATTATTGAATAAACTATATTTATTTTTTGGAGGAGTTAATGATGAATGTTCATCAAGATGCTTGCTCACCCTCCTTCAAATTTGAAAAACAAGTAATTATATCATTATTGATATACAGTTACAACCTTGACTTTACATCAGAAAGAACAAACATTAAAGAAGTGACTAACTGCATCAGTTAGGGTTAAAAAACGTGTATTCAGCTAAAACATCGCTGCAGTTATTATCCAGTGGAAGGTCCTTACCTACTGGCCTAGTTAAATCAAAGTGGTTACTTTCTGTTGGCTGGGCAGTGTAGTTTTACACACCGTCTTATTTTACTTTTTCAGGACTTAAAATTGAAGAAAAAAATATATACACGCATACAAGGTCATCATCTTAACAGTTTGTTATTCTCATCGAGTCATCCGTGAGCAGTGCATCAAGTTGGCATGTCTATTACAGCTGAATGCGGCGATTACTATTTTGTTCAGCAAAACGCCTCACAAATGTATTAAGATCAACAGCTGTAGTGCGTTTTGATTCATTGCTGAGTACAGCCAAACTGACAGTCTCTTCTCTGTCATTGTAGACCGCAAATACCTCATTCCTTCAGTAATTTTGTCCGAAAGGCTTCTCGTTTTGCGCCGTCCCGTTCAAATGAATTCGCCACCAATCATATTTCCACTCTCGCGCCAGGACCGGGGGAGAGGTTACATGACGTGCATCTTGTGCTGCATTCACTTGCACTCGGACATTAGAGACTTTCTCTCATAAATGTCCGATGAGCAACAACTTTTCTTTCAAAACAAAGATCCCAACTGGGGTGGCAGCTGGGGTGGCAAGGCTATTGTTTAGGGTGGCAGTTGCCACCCCATGCCACCCCGGTAGATCCGCCCCTGCATGTAACAGAGTTATTTAGTTTGTAGTTCTGTAGTTTCAGCTATTCTGTTTACAGTTCTGTCATCAGATTATTTAATACGATTTGTTAAAACACTGTTGTTTCTTTTGATGTGAAATATTATTTATTTAATTTAAATAAAAAGCAATGTTAGTTTTCTTCACAATTTGTTAAGTTAATTTAATAATATATGTATTTTTGAATCAAGTATTCATCTTTATTGTCTTCATTGTTAGTTTCCACATGCCTAAAACAACCTCAAGCTACATCTAAAAGTTGATGGCTAAATAAGAGCGTTTGAGAAATTGTGCAAGGCATACAGTAATAGTCCGAATAGTCAATTAATCGTTTCATTAATCGATAGATTAACAGATTATCAAATTAGTCGTTTGTTGCAGCCCTATTGTAGTTATTCAGCAACCCTTGCAATTTGGGATTTTATTGTGGGTTGGTAGACCTCGGTGAGCTGGTCATTGCAAAAGTAGCTCACCAGCCAAAAAAGTGCGGGCACCCCTACTTTAGGGGGATCGTCACCTCCTCTCGGGGGGTCCGGGAGCATGCTCCCCCGGGAAGATATTTTTTTAAATATTGAAGTTGAAAGCATCAATCTGGTGCAGTTTGAGAGCAACATTAACCGACCTTAATAATACCTTAAAGCGGACAAAAGGCACTGGAGAACACTTATTCATTAACACCCTTTAATGAAGCAAACTAATACCTTAACTCACTCAAATAGTCGTATACTTATTAAGGTGAAACAAATGTGCGTAGAGTTTTAAAGGATGCGGATAGTCTCACCTTGATTCTGGCGCATTGCTTATCGTTTTATAGATCTATTCTCATCCACCATCTTTGTTTGTGACGTGAAGAGTGTAAGAGTCACGTTTCTGAATCTGACACTGAGTGGATGCAGTCACAGCCAATCGGAGTCTGATTCAGAGGGTTGTCTGTCCGTTCCGTTGTTATGTGTACTGAAACGAGAGCCGGTATAATTCCACGCGCGAAAACAAAATTAAAATTGGAATACGTTATTTTAGTGTCTTAAAAGTAGACTGAGGTATGAAGGGTTAACGTTACATCTTAGGATAATTTTAAGTCATGTTCTGTATACATACTAACATATAAGGGTATACTTAGTGTGGTTACTCCATGTTTACTAGCTATAACATTAACGTTACATCACTCTTTTTCACTTCTTACTCAGTCAGCCAGAGTGCAGATATCACCATTAGATTCACAAACCTGAAACATCATCCATTTCTTGACTGCTGGTGATGACATTGTTGTCAGCTGCTGATACTGCTGCTGCTGCAGCTTGTGGCGCCGGCTGCTTCAATGACAATCACTTTCTAATATCCATAACTTTATAGGCTATTAGCATAGACTGTATAATATATAAATGGACGTAGGGTCCGTGACGTCACCCATAGGATTCTGCAGAGTTGCCGTGAAGCCCTTAGTAGGCGGAGTCGGCCACTAACGGCTCGACGGTGTCGTCAGAGTCTAACTCCCGCCTTCTCCCGCCTTCTCCAAATAAGGGCAAAGAGGCGGAGCTGAGGCGGGACAGGGCGGGACCTGCTGCCAACGAGCGTGACGTTCGAGTCCTAGCTCAGGCTAAGAAGCTAAGCTAACATGCTCTCAGTATCAATCGAATGTAAAACATGATTGATGAAAGTAGTAAATCGGTCAGATTTGACCCGAAGACAACAGGAGGGTTAATGCCATATTCACTTAGTAACGCATGAACAACTTTTACAAATATTTCTATATAGTCTGTTGGTAAATGTCATCTAGGTTGCACATTTCCTGCTGAAATACATGCATACCAAGTCACTGCGTGGCACTTTGGTTTTGATAAAACAGTGTAGTTCCACTATATAAACGTTACATTCATAATCAAACGAGACAATCTGCAAGATAATTAGCTATTTGGTATTATTCTTAATGCTTGTCATTCACACGTTAATAAAATAAAATAAGTACCGATACATAGCAGAATAATTGTGGCGGTGTTCAGCTTAATAAGCCTTGCTCAACATCATTTATTTAGCTAATACTACAGCGGGCTGCAGGCGAACCAAGTCCGCGTTACGATGCATTCCTTGATCTCCAGTTATAACGCCGGACTCCGCCGCTGGCCGAAGCTAACGGAGCCCCAGGGTGCTAGCTACGGCCGCCGGGACGCGCTAGCGAGCTAGCACCCTGCAGCCCCGTTAGCTTCAGCGGCGTGGACTCCGGCGGCCCACCCCTTTTAACATTTGCTCCCGTTTAGCATTATGGGCGTCATAGCCATATAGTATAAAAGTCTTACCCAAGGCTGAATCATAAACTAAACTGTATATATGTATAAAGGGTTACGTCCTTAGCTGGCTAATAAGCTACATAACAGGCTAAGCTAACAAGCACACAAACACCTGCTAACGGGGTTAACATGTATAATATTATCATTTTACTCACCGAAAAAAGCTGAAAGTAGACTTCTTGGAAGATCTGTTAGTACATTCAAGCGCACAGCACGACATTTTAATTATCTGGTATTTGTAACAATATTCCCTAACAGGCACGATCACCACGAACACAGCTAAAGGATCAAGTACAGTAACTACAACTAACTAACGTTGTAGCCTCTATGGTTGTAGCCTAGCAGATTGGACAAGTTGCTGTTAGCTGACAGTGAGGCACGTATCTGTCAATCAAAGTGACCACGCCCTAATGTATGCACAAACTTTAAGACCTAATATAAATATAAAGAGTCGCGTTAGAAAACAATTCACTCACAGATCCATAATCATGAAGGTGGAATCTAACTATATCGATAATAAAATGTATGGAGCCAGGGGTAGAAACATGTTTTTTTCTGCTGTAAAATCGGGCATTTTAACATGGGGGTCTATGGAAATTGCTCCTTTCTGCAGCCATCGCCTATCGGCCAATATATGAACTGCAGTGTGTGGCACTTCCGTATTGGCTTCCCGGCTCTACCCCAGTTTGCCGCTTGGCTATAGCTTGGTTTCAGTCACGTGACTTCTATGACGCGCGAAATTCAAGTGGAGGTCAGGAAGTGAAAACGCAATCATTCATCAACGCAGGAATCATGCAGGACACCGACTATGTCAAACAATTAAATTAACCTGCACGCCGCAGATATCGTGAAAAAATCACAGCACACATCGGATACGATCCGTATCAGCTGAAAAAAAAACGACTTTTCTCGTGATTTATCCGATTTGCCCGCTGTCCAAGCGATGGATATCACCAGCTACCTCGTCCTTCATACCTCCTACTACACGGCTAGCCAGATGAAAGCGTATACAAGCCTGGAAGCTTTCAACTACTTCGTGTGTGGATGGGTGAATGACCTCGGCACCAAAGAGGCATTAAACAAATGTCGCCTTGTTTTTGCCCGGGTGAGTGTTAACTACCTATACCTTCTTACCTCTAAGTAGCATTATTAGGAGACATCTAGCTAGCTAACTTTAGCTACATGGACTCATGTAAGGCAGTGTTACGGCTGTCGCCTTGCCTTCAGCATTAACTGGCCTGTGAGTGTGTTGTGTGTGTATATATGTGTATGTTTGTTATGTGTTTAGCTTAGGATATATTGCGTTTTGTGTGTATAGACAGCTCAGAGCCTTTGAACAGCCTGCACGTTGTTTATATCACTCTATGTTGAGGTTAATATTAAAAACAACCTCTTTACCAAGACCATCTGGTTATGTGTTGCTTGTGATGTTGTTAAATGTATGTTACCAACTCGCAAGTTGTGAACTGGAGCTTCAATTGTGTAGGTCAACCATTCCCAGAGGTCTGGAGAAACACCATTAAAAACGTGGATTGTAGCTAAAGAAGATGGAGAGGTTGTTACAGCACACTGTAACTGTATGGCTGGGTAAGTCATAAAATAAATATCCCAACCCAAAGCATATTTGACACAACACTTAAGCTCGGACAAAATAATGCCTGCTATAATATTCATGTTATACCATTACTAGCTTTTACGATCAATCTAGTTATTCTAGTATGTCTCTGTCTATACAGTTTGTCAGAATCCTGCTCACATGTTGGAGCAGTTCTGTTTGCAATCGAAGCAGGTGTGAAGATGAGAGACTGCATCCTGCACCACTGAGAAGTGCAAGTGGCTAATGCCATCACATGTCAAAAAGGTATTCAGACCCCAGTGGTCAGTCAGCTGTTCATGCCGTCCTTGCCTGTCTCATTGTTACACTGCACCTACATGTATGTTCACATACATGTTGGTCTATCTCTCACATGTGCAGATTCCTGCTGCTTCAGTTGCGATGATAGACTTTTCATCCGCAAAATCCAAAAAGCAAAAACTGGATGATGCCATTGCTGGAAGGACAGGTGAGAAGCACACATTTCAGCGTCCAGGGTTCAAAATTGGAGCGAGGATCAGAGAGGTATATGCAGTTTTTCAAGACTTTGAGCAGAAATTCCCCAAGAAGTGCTGCACTGATGTCCAGGGAACCATATTACAGAGAATTTGTCCCTAAATCTGTGAGCAAGCTACCTAAACCACTACCTCAGTATAGGACACCAGAGATGCTACAGCTATCCCCAACAGAGTTGCAGAACGCATGCCAGGACTTCAGACAGGAAGAGCTGACACAGCCACAGGCAGTAGAGGAGGAGACCAGAAACCAGAGCCTATCAGCAATATGGTTTAGCCAAAGAGCAGGAAGGATCACAGCCTCAAGACTGAAGCAGGTTCTACAGACTAGTCTTGCACAGCCATCAAAGTCCTTGATCAAGTCCATATGCTACCCAGAGGCACACAAGTTCTCTACAGCTGCAACAAGGTATTTATTAGGGATTAGGGAGCCAATCAGAAAAGCAAACTGTATACAGTTTTTCTCAGACGCGGAGGGATACCGACTTGTTGTGAAAAGTAACTTACAATTCTACCCGCGGTATACGCTGATTATATCACGTATATCAGTAAGTTACAGTACAAGTAACTTATAACTAAATTCATTATCATTACAAAACATGATTCACAAAATATTCAATGCATAAAAATACTGTGTGTGTGTGTGTGTGTGTGAGAGAGACAGGTATGGATGCAAATACGAGGCAAGTGCCCGAAAGCAGTATGAAGGAGTACAAAGTCTGCACCACCAGGGTTTCAGCTGTAAAGACAGCGGGCTTTGGCTGAACCCTCAATGGCCATACATGGGAGCGTCGCCAGACGGAGGTGTCACGTGCACCTGCCATTCCAACTGGTATCTGTGAGATAAAGGTAAGTTATTTGTTCAGTATTGTGCTACAGTAAAGCGGGTAAGTATAGGATTGTGACGTGATCCTGAGTCTGGGGATCCTCTCCCAATACATTTTGAGCTGCAGACACTTATTTACAGTAGAATATATTACTTTTCTTTTCATTGAACTTTTAGTGCCCACACAGCAAACAAGAGGAGGCCAATCTTCGCCTGTGTGCTGGAGAACAGGGCTTCTGTCTCGTCAACGATGGGGGCACTGTGAAGCTGGACAGGAGACATGCCTACTACCATCAAATACAGGCTCAGCTCCACCTCGTTGATGTTGACTACTGCGACTTTGTTGTCTGGACTAAAAATGACCTCTTTGTAGAGAGAATTGTGCGTGATGTGGACCTGTGGGACAACATCATTCCCAGAGTTGAGCGTTTCTTCAGACTATGTGTTCTCCCTGAAGTGTTGGGACAGCAACTTACAAGGGGAAAGGTCAAAGTCATAAAGAGTTGGTGTGCTCATTTTTTCCCACAAGAACATGATAGTGCATAACTATCAGGTGACTAAAAGCCTCCTCTCCCTGTCTGCTGTTCCATTTTTCAGTTTCAGTTGCAAGATGATCAGGAGGGAGAGAAGGCGTGATTACCAGCACCTGTGGTCTGTCCTGGTCCCGGAAGTTGTGGTTCTCTCCTTGTTGCATTATCATTACGTGCCGTAGTGGGTGCTGGTGTTTGGGTGTCTTTTTCTCTCTCCCTCTGATCTCCCCAGGTGCTCCCAATCTCCAATCAGCGCCTCCATATAGGACATGAGGAAGGTTGCAGTCGCTCTCCCCTTATCTTAAGCTTTGTTTGACAAGTTGGCTGGTGAGCCCTTTTTCGTTGTGTTAATTAAAAGACCACTTTATGGCGTCAGAGATCAGTTTCCTCTCCTTTTCTCTCGGCCGGTTATGTTGTGTGTCGCTACTTCCCTTTGTACCCCTATATTTACAAGGGAACGTAACATTTGCACAGTGGCAGCTCTTTAACCTGCATTACAGCACCTTCATATTCACTGACCACACTCACTAGAGGAAGTAGGGCTGTGTGATATATTGCTATTGTAAAAAAGATGTTTACTGAAAAGATTAAATGATACTAAGACTGAATAATACATGGTTTCTTATTTACATTTACAATAACCCTCAATGGCCATACATGGGAGCGTCACCAGACCAATTGTCATCTCTAGAATATTGTTGAATGAATTAAGCCTGAATGTAGATGAAAGTTGTATATTGAGTAGGGCTACACAATTTTCAACACAAAAAGATGTTTACTGAAAATATTAAATGATACTGAATAATACATGGTTTCTTATTTACAAGACTACAGCTCCATGACTTTACTCCAATGGGACGACAGACACTGACAGATTAGACAAGGCACAGCAAATAACCCCAATCTTGTCAATTAATGCTAGTGCCTCACCTGGTTTTGTTAGCATGTGCTCTATGGGCACAGCCCTGCTTTGCAGAATCTGATATTTTCTTCTGACTAATCCTATGACTCTTTCGACATGAATACGCACATTAGCTATTTTTCTTGTCTCTTCCACCTCGTATGCTGACAGCTGACTTTCCCCCCTGGTGAATGCAGGCATCTTTAGTGAAGCACAGTAAAATCCCACACTATCGGCAATATCGAACCCACGGTCTGCTAGGACAATATCTCCAGGTAACAGGTTTTTTAGGAGCCCACTCTGTATTGTGATCTGTTTATCACTAACTCTTCCTCCCCAGGCACAAGATATGTAGGTAACATAGCCTTGGGGAGCAACACCAATCAGAAATTTAACAGTATTGGTGATGCTTGTAGTTGGACCATGTTTGTGCTCTAGCTAGTAAATTAGAGGGCCTCTCAATAAAAACTTCAAAACAGTCAACAATCACAGCAACTCTACATCCAAATGCCTGTCTGAATCCCATTGGCATTGTAGCTTGAAGTACATGTCGCTCTGGCCACTCAATTATAAATTCTGTACTCTCGTGAAGTATGTCAATTAACTTATGCCAAATTCTAGAAGCAGTGGAGAGAGAGATGTTGAACCTGAAAACCAAATCTTTCAGAGGGAGATTTAGTCTCAGCCTCAGCAAAACTAAAATGAACTGTTCAAATTTGGAGAGCACAGACATAGGGCCACAGGTGATGTAGGGGCTCGCACAGTTGAAAAACCTGAAGTAAAACTAAGAAGTTGGGGAGCCCGGTGTAAAACTTTGTTTTCTCTTCGTTGTTCTCAAAGGACTCCTGGTTGAACTTTGTGTCCAGTGCCTTTGTCCGAAGATCTCCCAGCTCTGTTGTGTTCTGTCTCAGAACATCCTCCATCCTCTCGATGTCCTCCATCGTTAAATCAGTCTGGCATCCTGCATCTGCATACAATATAGCAGTAGCAAGCATAATTAGTTATTTAAAATAGTCAAATATGAATGTGAATTTTTGTGAAGTTATCTTTTTGACAACCTTTTTACAGACATGCAAGTTCTCTGTTCCAATTATTGCAGATTCTCAAGTTAGTGCTCTATTTTCTAAACCTAATTCAAAGTTTGCATTGATTTTCTGACAATCACATTTGTAATATTTAATAATAATGCTGGTGGTTAATTTACCTTGTTGGTCATTTAATATCCCACTGGTGTCCTCTGGTTGTGGGCTGTCTGATCTGGGCTTACTTGTTGTGTGGTAACCGAGGCTAACAGTGGGAGCCCAGTCTACCGACTCAACGTCCCCCAAAGCGCTAGGGCACCCTAAAAAGTCCCAACAATGTCCATATTAGACTACAGGTAACTTAAACATGAACAGTATTACTAGGTAAATAAGCATTTAACCACAACCCAATAATACCTAAACAAAGCCACAAAAACGAAGTTAGCTAATACCTCTGATGAAGTGGTCGCTGCAGACCCGTGCATTAGACGACTCTGCTCCTCCCGACCGCAGATGTAGGTTTGAAAGCCATTTTTTCCGGCGTTCTTCGGTTAGCTTCTTAAATTGCTCAGCTTTATGGACGACAACCTTCGGCACTCGGTAAAACCTCTTGTCTTTCTCTCGGCCGGATCGATTGGAACAACCGTAAACTACACAACACACCGGCATTTTCACAATGGTAACAGCAGCTAGATCCTCTGTAGTAAATTACTTCCTGACCTCCAATGGAATTTCGCGCCAAAGGAACGCAACGGTGTGACGTCACGTGAAACCAAGCGCTTAAAACTCGTCAGGCACAGGAAGGATCACTTCTTCTTCAGGGCAGGCACGCAGTACGCAGGCTAACGCTGCCTCTCTGGTGGACTCCGGTACTGCACATTACTCCCGAGACGTTTTAATAATTAGAATAATTAGAGCTTCATTTTGGTCTAAACAACACGTTTGTTGTTTCCTCTGCACACCATCTGCTGCTTCCCCTGCGAGGATTCGTTGGCAAAACAACACAAATGAACAAAATTCTCAGGTGCTTTTCACTCTTGTTAGTGGTGTTAATTACTAGGTCTGAATAATGGACCATTACAGGGAAATGTGACTTTAGGAACGTTAGCCACATGTGTCACAACAAAGGAGGAGAGGAGGGTTTTATTCAGCCGTATGTCATGAAGCAGATTCCTTTTAAGACAGGTGAACAATGGAGGAAGAAAATCGTTGAATATGTTTTGTTTTTCCAAGGTTTTTCGGGTTTTTATGACAATAACTGGGAAGTTTTCCACAAAGGCTACCACACACACAAACATCCAGTGGTTCTCTTCTGGTCTGCTGAAGGTGGGAAGAGAAAAGAGACGAGTCCTGGCTTCTGTCCTCAAGGAGGTTTTTGGTGTTCGTTGATAGGACTCCCTGCCTGAGGACAGAAAAAAACTGTAAGTGAAGATGACCAAAGATAACAAAGCATGTGCAAGAAGCGAAATCAGAAAGAGAAATGTCTTTAGGAAAAATGTCCCGGTAAGAAATGGCAGGTCAAAATACCTTTGAGGTTAAATTGGACTTCTTTCTTCATTTTTTCTTAATACTAAAAGGCTGTTGAAAAAAGCAGGCAAGCTTGACAAAAAAAGTTTAAGTTTAATTTAAAAATAGAAATGTGTAATCTTGATTTCAGCTGACCAAATATCCAGTGGCTTTTTTAATTAAAACGTGTTTATTGGCAAGTACTTCCCAGCATGCATAGGGTGAACATTCTCAAAAGATCTATACTTTTGTCATTTGAAATAATTACATGATTTCAGACAAACATGAGGAAGTTCAACACTTCCTGCTCCCTTATTGGGAAAGGCTCGAAGCTTAAAGGTCACCAATCATGCTATTATTAGGCAATAGCATAGGTCTCAGATATAAATATATAAAAAACATGTCTATGAAGTGTTTTGCTCAAAATACCAAACAGATCACCCATTCTAGCCATGCCTCATATCCCTCCATTTCACTTCCTGTTTCAAAAGTGCTGAATTTGGGTATAAAGCTTTAAAAAAAAAAAAAATCGATATAAATAAAAGAGGAGGGGTCTGAGCTCATGCGGGACCCGGCAGCTACTGTCTAAACTAAATGCTGCCGTGATGAAACGCCATATCATGGATTATCAAGGATTCTCTCTGAAACAGTTTGGAGCTCAAAGGCTTTCTCTCTTGCCAGTTATACCACAAGGTGAGTTCCTTTTTACTTCCTGCTTCTTCACACACATGCTCTCCAGTACAGGTTAGCTCTGAGTGTTAGCGATGCTAATGTAAACACCGACCATATTACGTCCAAAACAGTCGGGCATTGTTTCTGATAGCAACGATTCTGATTGGGCCGTGGGTCCAAATTTCAGATATTATGTCATATCGGACGCAAATCTGGATCAGCTCCGTTGTAGCCCCGTTTTTAGAGATTTGGGTACGGAGGAAAAGAGAGAGGGTTTTATTTTCTGACACTGCGTGAGTTCTCAGACACACTGGGGACACATGTTGATGTATAAAAGACATCAAAAAGTGCATTTTGCATGATAGGTCCCCTTTAAACTACAAAAATTAAGTTAAATCAAATAACTCAAAACATTTTGAAATGTCAAGTTTACTTAACCTATTTCTCTCTACATTTTACTCTAATGTTTAGCAGCTACCAGTGATACCCACGTCTACAAAACATAAATCTGCAGTGACCATAAATCATGTGGACGCTGGTAATATGTTTGATCACGGTTGTTTCCTCCAAGTCTCCGGCAGTCCCCGCTCCTCCAGCTACATTTCCCTTCCTCTCAGCTCTGCATTTAAATTTTTTTTTTAAAAAAGCACTGTGCATCATCTGCACTCAATCACAATAATTATCCAGAGAAATGCAGCGCAGAGCCTGTGAGAGGTGAGGGGAAAGAAGCACAGAGGCTATTGGCACTCAGCTCCCTCCAGTCGTTATTAGTCATCTCTGTGCTGCTCTGGAAGAGGAAGGTTTGGGAGGCGGCCATTTTCAGACAGACAGACAGACAGACAGACAGAGAGACAGAGAGACAGAGACAGAGACAGAGAGAGAGAGAGAGAGAGACAGAGACAGAGAGAGAGAGAGAGAGAGAGAGAGAGAGAGAGAGAGGATAGACGATAGGAGAGAGAGAGAGAAGAGAGATCAACGCATATAGAAGCAGAAGAGAGAGAGCTATCGCGAGATCGTATGAGAGATAGACTCCGGCTCTATCTCTCTCGCTCTCTCTCTCTCTACTGCTACTCTCTCTCTCTCTCTCGCCTCCTCTCTCTCTCGTCTAGCGCTCTCGCTCTCTCTCGCTCTCTTCTGCTCTCTCTCGCGTCTCGCTCTCTAAAGGCCTAGAGAGAACTGATGTGCCCAGAAAGTATCAGCGATGTCTCAAAGCTTTGGCACAACCACACGAGAATCCGCTCTATGTACTTTCCTGTCAGGCTTCCTCTCATCCGCACATTTTAAAAAAACAACAAAAAAAAACCCTAAGCTTGTTGTCACTCTGGAGATGTGGGAGCTTATAAAAATCCCCAAAAAGCGGACAGCGAACACCTTTTTGGGATCTTCAAAATAAAAGAGTCCTGTCAGGATTTGTGAAGGAGCTCTTTGTGGGGTTTCTGAGGCTTTGAAGAACTTTTGATTGCAGAGATATTTTGCAATCAAAAGTTCCCTCAAAGCCCTTTTTGACCTTTTTAATGCAGACGGACAGGAGAAATAAAGGACTGATTTGACTCCAGTGCCCATGGAGCAACAGCTTCATGAATGTCTTACTCCACGGGGGGACTGGCAGTAGCTCAGAGGCCAGTCTGTGTTTTCAAATCCTGATTTCACCCCTGAGATTTTCACTTTTAAAGACTGACAGGTAAAGAGATTTTTGCCATTCAAGTCAAAAGGGCAGCTACTGTGCATCGTATCCATTGAATATGTATTAACAAACATCTCTCAAAGCTTCTCTTTTTAAATGAGAAGCATCTCATGAATCAAGATAATATTTATCCTGCACATTCATTTATTCATCCACTTAAATGGGGTCTTGTTTTTGTAGTTTTTGCCATAATTTCAGCTACAATAACATCTCACTCACCAACATAAGATCTAAGAAACAAGGATCAGGGGGTTTCAATACGCAGAAAGTGTACCTATTGTCTCAGTGATTGTGTCTTACTATTTGGCCAAACCAAACACAGAACATCTGGGTTGTGGATTATCTGTCATCGCACAGGAAATATCTAAATGTTTGTTTTTTGGTTTGTTGTTTTTTGCAGATGTTACCGCACTCACAGTACCAGCCAGGAACATGGTTAGTTCAATATTAGTATTACTTATTGAACGAATTGACATAAAAACTACAAAATTAAGACCCTAGAAGTGGCAAAAATCCCTATTTGTAGATTACATTACATTACATGTCACTTGTTAGACGCTTTTATCCAAAGCGACTTACATACTCAATACTGTGGACAATCCCCACAGGAGCAATTTGGGGTGAAGTGTCTCAGGGACACAACGACATGCTGACTGCAGTGGGGTTTGAACCTGTGACCCCCTGATACGAACACCAACGCACAACCCACTGCGCCACACACCTCCCTAAGTAGATGTTTGCCCCCAGTTTTTTTTGCTCCAATATACTTTAAAATGTGTGTTTCAAGCTCAAAAACACACTGATCTCCATAGTTTACAGTAAAGTGAGTTTTCTGCAAGAAAAGGTCTAATGTTTTGGGGGTGAAATGCAAAGAAGCTGCTCATTTTGGAAATGTAAATTACAATCGGTTAATAGTTAAACTGCCGATTTTAAAGGAAGAAATGCTTTTTTTAAATCGTATTGTACCCAGATCATTTTTGAGAGTAATGATTAAAATAATAAGACTTGGATTATATTCCCCTTAGCGGTGATATACGCCCGATCCTTCTCCCTCCTCGTACGTTCACGCTGCCGAACAATGTACTCATCGTATTTCTTTGTTCAAATACACAGACGACAGACTAAATAAAGACACTTATGAGCCTTCGGTGCCCATGAGCGTTCAGAGTTCTCTTCAAAAAGTCCTGGCACCAAAACAAACCCACTGAGGACTGGCAGCTGTGCCCAATATTAGTATTATTGAGTTTCTGGATTTCTTACATTTCACCCTCCAGATCTTGTCACTGATCCAAAGAAAACTCTGAACTCTGAAGATACTGGTCCCTCAAAAATCTAATAGAAGTGCAGCCAAATGGTAAAGTACGAGTAAATAGACCCAAAGTTGGTTTTAAGCAAAGGCTGTATGATGGTCGTCCCTTTGTTGAAGTTATAGCCGCTTTAATGTCTTAATGTCGGGCTGAATGGATGGGCGTACAAAACAAATGACTGACAGATTGTCTCTGTGTTGGGATCGTCTTAAAGGGAACGTTCTGCGGTCATCCTGTGATTGCATGAATGCTTTAAAGACATCTCTAAAAGACAAAAACGATGATGAGGCCGAGCACTCGTGAGGTTTCAGAGCTCTGGATGTTTGACAACGGCCCTGTAGGAACTGGCAGTCGCTCTTAGAGGAATATTAGTCATGTTAGTTTTGGAGGTCTTTAATTTCAGTCTTCAGATCAGATCTTGTCCTGAGGGTCCTTCTAAAATACATGGATCAACGTCTGTGGACGCTGCAGTGCCATCGTTAGCTACCTAAACCACGTCCATAGTTTGGTAAACACAGGACTTAAAGCTTAAACAGATGGATTTTAAAGGTCACCTATTATGCAAAATCCACTTCTTCATGTCTCTTCTACATCAACATGTTGATGTAGAAGAGACAGTACCTTTCAGGAACAAAGATTCTCTCTCTTTTTGTCCTGATCCATTTCTATAAAAACCTGTCAGAAAATGAGCTGATCAGATTTTGGCCACTTTATGATGTCATAACGATTTGTTGGCTTGTGTAACCATTAGCCAAACACCAAACAAGGTAACCCCCACTCCCACCCACCTGAATCTCCTCCTAGAGCACCATTGTGTTATTTTTAACCAAATATCTCTCAGAGGGGCGTGGGGAGGGGCTCCTTATTTTCATCTAAAGGTCCTTACACACCAAACTGACACCAAAGAACACGTCCCGACGGAACGTCGCCTCACGTCTCCTCACGTCTCCTCACGTTGCCTCACGACGTCGCCTCACGTCTCCTCACATCGCCTCATGTCTCCTCACGTCTCCTCACGTCTCCTCACGACGTCGCCTCACGTCTCCTGCGTCTTGGCCATGTGTCGCACTGGAACACACCGCAAAGACTTCAGCCGACGGCCAAGAAGCACGTACGAACTGCGCATGCGTGAGTGGCAATACCTCTCCTTACCAGCAGGTGGCGGTAGTGTGTATTTGTCATTCAAAAGAGGCAACAACCGGAAGACAGACTGCGTGATGATGAGAGAAGAAGAACAGACTGCGTGATATAAACAAACAACAAATAGCGTGCGTTCCATTTTCCCTCTACAGCGAGAAGCTCACGGGGCTTTCCCGAACCTGAGTCGAGAGCTGGAGTTCAAGGAAATATCAGATTTGCCTTCTTAATAGTTTGTTTAGGTCCCTCACTTCCGTTTCGCTTCTCATGCACTGATTCGCTATCTGAACAGCCAATCAGAGTGATTTCTTTGGCCGACAGCCTCCCGATTCAACATATCGAATCGGCGGCGGGAAGGTGTTGGCACGGCCGAAAAGACACGACGGTGCAGTACACACCAATCTGAGTAGGGCGACACAGCGCTCATCGACGGCCCGACATCTATCGACACCGAAAATCGTCTTGGTGTGTAAGGACCTTAAAGTAACAGAGAATCAGCACTTTTGAAACAGGGCTGAAACGGAGGGGATTATGGGTAATGCTGTTTGGTGTTTCAAGCAAAACACTTCAGAGACATGTTTTGTATAAATCTGAGAACTATAATATATTGATGAACACAGTATAACAGGGGACCTTTAAAGCTTAAACAGATGGATTTTAAAGTGATGTTTTGATATCTGTCCTGCACGGTAATTGTGTGACCATAAGAAGCTGAAAATGAAACTACCTGGTTAAAGAGCTCTGCATACAGCATGTTGGACTTCTCCACCTGAGACTCCAGGTCAGCGACTGCATCGGCATCCCATAACGTTAAACTGCTTCGAAAGAAAAACATGTTGTAAACTGTGCTGTAGTGGAAAGCATGTAGGAGTGGGCCAACATGGAAAATGTATACAAATGATCTGAGATAAAGAGGAATGTTTGGAGTCTGTTTTAAAACACTCCAGAGTTGATTTCTGGCTCAGACGATGAAAGTGATGAGTTTACTGTTTGTTGCATCTGTCTGATTTCTTACCAGTCGCAGCATTTAGAGTCCTGCAGGGGACAGAGGACGCTCTGGCTGTCATCACGTAACCTCTGCTTTAGTTTCTGTGTCTTCTTCTTCAACAGGATGACCTGTCGCAGCAGAGCGTCTCTCTCTTCCATCAGGCAGTCTTTGAATCTGTGGAAAGACATGTGTTTACGCACATTGACAAGCTGAGAGAATAGAAAAGGTTTAGACGATAAAAAAAGATTGGATTCGTACCCCTAAGGTGGGTGTTTCTGCATCTCTTCTTACAGTAAATTAACGAAAATCTAAAATAAAAGAAGCCACACAAGGACCAGCTGTGGAATGGGTCTTTTCCCAGGGATTGAAGGGGCCCTATTGTGCTGATTTTCAGGGACATATTTGTATGTAGTGTCTCTACTTTAAAGAGTCCTCTCCTGCTGATGTTCAGGTGTATATCAGTATGTAGTGTATCTACTTTAAAGAGTCCTCTCCTGCTGATGTTCAGGTGTATATCAGTATGTAGTGTCTCTACTTTAAAGAGTCCTCTCCTGCTGATGTTCAGGTGTATATCAGTATGTAGTATCTCTACTTTAAAGAGTCCTCTCCTGCTGATGTTCAGGTGTATATCAGTATGTAGTGTCTCTACTTTAAAGAGTCCTCTCCTGCTGATGTTCAGGTGTATATCAGTATGTTGTGTCTCTACTTTAAAGAGTCCTGTCCTGCTGATGTTCAGGTGTATATCAGTATGTTGTGTCTCTACTTTAAAGAGTCCTCTCCTGCTGATGTTCAGGTGTATATCAGTATGTAGTGTCTCTACTTTAAAGAGTCCTCTACTGCTGATGTTCAGGTGTATATCAGTATGTAGTGTCTCTACTTTAAAGAGTCCTCTCCTGCTGATGTTCAGGTGTATATCAGTATGTTGTGTCTCTACTTTAAAGAGTCCTCTCCTGCTGATGTTCAGGTGTATATCAGTATGTAGTGTCTCTACTTTAAAGAGTCCTCTCCTGCTGATGTGCAGGTGTATATCAGTATGTAGTGTCTCTACTTTAAAGAGTCCTCTCCTGCTGATGTTCAGGTGTATATCAGTATGTAGTGTCTCTACTTTAAAGAGTCCTCTCCTGCTGATGTGCAGGTGTATATCAGTATGTAGTGTCTCTACTTTAAAGAGTCCTCTCCTGCTGATGTTCAGGTGTATATCAGTATGTAGTGTCTCTACTTTAAAGAGTCCTCTCCTGCTGATGTTCAGGTGTATATCAGTATGTAGTGTCTTTACTTTAAAGAGTCCTCTCCTGCTGATGTTCAGGTGTATATCAGTATGTAGTGTCTCTACTTTAAAGAGTCCTCTCCTGCTGATGTGCAGGTGTATATCAGTATGTAGTGTCTCTACTTTAAAGAGTCCTCTCCTGCTGATGTTCAGGTGTATATCAGTATGTAGTGTCTCTACTTTAAAGAGTCCTCTCCTGCTGATGTTCAGGTGTATATCAGTATGTAGTGTCTCTACTTTAAAGAGTCCTCTCCTGCTGATGTTCAGGTGTATATCAGTATGTAGTGTCTCTACTTTAAAGAGTCCTCTCCTGCTGATGTTCAGGTGTATATCAGTATGTAGTGTCTCTACTTTAAAGAGTCCTCTCCTGCTGATGTTCAGGTGTATATCAGTATGTAATGTCTCTACTTTAAAGAGTCCTCTCCTGCTGATGTTCAGGTGTATATCAGTATGTAATGTCTCTACTTTAAAGAGTCCTCTCCTGCTGATGTTCAGGTGTATATCAGTATGTAGTGTCTCTACTTTAAAGAGTCCTCTCCTGCTGATGTTCAGGTGTATATCAGTATGTAGTGTCTCTACTTTAAAGAGTCCTCTCCTGCTGATGTTCAGGTGTATATCAGTATGTAGTGTCTCTACTTTAAAGAGTCCTCTCCTGCTGATGTTCAGGTGTATATCAGTATGTAATGTCTCTACTTTAAAGAGTCCTCTCCTGCTGATGTTCAGGTGTATATCAGTATGTAGTGTCTCTACTTTAAAGAGTCCTCTCCTGCTGATGTTCAGGTGTATATCAGTATGTAGTGTCTCTACATGTCTTCATGCTTTAATGTTCAAAAAGCTCTTTATTTTTCTCATACTGCCTGTGCTGCAGCACCTCTTTTCACCCTCTGTCTGAAACCAGAGCCCAGTCTGCTCTGATTGGTTAACTGGCCGGCTCTGTTGTGATTAGTCAACCGCTTAGAGATGTCCCGCCCCTTAGCCTATCACGTGCAATGTGTTGGAGCGCTAGCCAATAGAAGAGCGAGTGTTGTATAGTAATGTCATCATTTGCAGACATGCACACAAACGTATAGAGCACACTACAGGAAAGGGGAAACCCACTAAAAGCACAATAGGGCCTCTTACGTGTCATTTATAAAAACGAGTGTACACCTCAGCTCTTGCGTCTCAGATGCTCTTTGTGAGTGTAAAAGTTGGAGGAGAACACACTGACCTCTTGACACAGCACATCCAGTAGCGCTGCTGCTGACAGAGCCACTCAAACTGCTCCGCGGTGCCCTGCAGCTTCCTCAGGCTACGCTGGTTCTCCTCCGTCAGCCCCCTCACCTCAGAGAGAGACCACAGCACACATTCAGAGTGTGGATTAACAGTATAAAAGCAGGGGTCACGTGATGCAGCGAAACTAGGTAGATGCTAGCCCAGGGTCTCTCCAAACATATCAGTTTAAAAACCTTTAAAAAACACCTGAACCCACTTTTAACTTGGTGGGACAGCTGCAGCATGGACCTGAGATCCGGGAACAGTACAAAAGCAACATATATACTGTCAGTACAGGCAGAGTACACCAGAACACTACTAAATTGTTACATTTAAAGAGCTGGAACCAGGGTTTATATTTTCTTTAAAGAATGACCAACTCATCAGTGAACATCCTGGTATTTATATGTTGATCTTTTTTATAATTGTCAGTGTGATGGTGACAATGTAATGTTTTAAAGTGGACCTATCATGCTATTTTTAGGCAATAGCATATAGGTTTCAGATCTAAACAACAGATCACCCATTCTAGCCATGCCTCATATCCCTCTATTTCACTTCCTGTTTCAAAAGTGCTGATTTGGGGTATTGATACAAAATTGATAAAAAATAAAAAAGGAGGAGTCTGAGCTCATGCGGGACCCGGCAGCTACTGTCTAAACTAAATGCTGCCGTGATGAAACGCCATATCATGGATTATCAAGGATTCTCTCTGAAACAGTATGGAGCTCAAAGGCTTTCTTTCTTGCCGGTTATACCACAAGGTGAGTTCCTTTTTACTTCCTGCTTCTTCACACACATGCTCTCCAGTACAGGTTAGCTCTGAGTGTTAGCGATGCTAATGTAAACACTGACCATATTACGTCCAAAACAGTCGGGCATTGTTTCTGATAGCAACGTTTCTGATTGGGCCGTGGGTCCACATTTCCGATATTACGTCATATCTAGGGTTGGGAACCGAAACTCGGTTCCAGATGAGAACCGATAAGAAAATGCCGGGTACCGGGTACCCATACAAAATACACAATTTCGGTTCTGCTTAACGGTTCCTAAACGCGGTAGACCCTGTATTCCAGCGGGTCCGTCTGCACCGCGGTGCTGCGGTGACCCGGTGGAATACAGGGCGGACCTGGAGAATCACAGAACGGCCGGTCGTCAGCGGGCCGTTGACGGCCGGCTCGGTACGCTGACGGCCGGCACCGCCCTTCATTTTTTTAAACGGCATCATATAAATTGCGCTGACAGGCGACAGAGGTCCACAGTTGCCCCGCAGCGATGCTCCCCCGCCCTCCCGTAGACATTTCACGAGCTCAGTCACTTCATAACACCAAAGATAGGCCGCGGTAAACGCTCTGAAGTGAGGCTCCACTACACTAAAAAAGAAAAAGAAAAGGCAAAGTGTAATGCCTGTTAATAGCTTGCCACAGGCATAGCTCAGTTAAAATAAAGCACAGCTATTGTGCAATACATTTGTATTGCATGTATATTTTTTAGTAACAATTTCAGTTAAAGCTTTTAAGAATAAATATATTTTTGTTATCTAAACGTTTGACCTCTTTATTTTACAATTTTGGAATCGAAACGGGGAATCGATAAGAACCGGAATCGATAAGCAGAACCGGAATCGAAATCGGAATCGATACATTTCAAACGATACCCATCCCTAGTCATATCAGACGCAAATCTGGATCAGCTCCGTTGTAGCCCGTTTTTAGAGATTTGGGTACGGAGGAAAAGAGAGAGGGTTTTGTTTTCTGACGCTGCGTGAGTTCCCCGACACACCGGGGACACATCTTTATGTATAAAAGACTTCAAAAAGTGCATTTTGCATGATAGGTCCCCTTTAAGTGATGTGGATATTATGCACGCACCTGTCCAGAATGGAAATTATATTATAGGCAAAAAAACATCCTTTCTCTTGTTGATAATAAAGTATTGTCCTTGTTTGTAAAACAAGTAAAATTGTTGAAGTTACAACTCGTGGGTTTGCTATCCTGGCTCCAAAATGGTGGCATGAGCTCCCCATTGACATCAGGACAGCAGATAGCTTACACACCTTCCGGCGCAGACTGAAATCTCATCTCTTTCGACTCCACTTCGAGCGATTGAACTATTAACAAAGCACTTATATACTAATAAAGGACTGGCTTATCTAAAGCCAGTTGAGTAGCACTTGAAATGTTTTTGCTCTGTGAAGCCTGATGTACTTATATGATTCTGTTTTCTTCAAATTTGAATCTTCTTGGTCGAATTGTAAGTCGCTTTGGATAAAAGCGTCAGCTAAATGTAAAGTAATGTAATGTAAAAGTTATATTTCAATCACATAGTTTGGGTAAAGTATTCCTTAAGATAATTCATGTCCACTTATTGGCATCTTTACATATTTGTAAATGTTAATAAAATGTTCAGTTGGCTTTAAAAATGTAATTAAAATCAGTCACCCGTTGACTCACATTGTAAGTTAAGTATTTTCCATGTTTTAATAAAAATATAAAAGTTCTCCTAATCTAATTTTTATTTATTTTAAACTCTTTTTTCCATCTCAACAGGACAACCTTTTTCTTTGGTCCCCATACATTTTAATGGATGTGAAAAATGACATGTAAAGAAATTCAAGATCAGAAAATAAACTTTAACTTATTGTCGTATCTGAAAAAGATGAGCAAACACAGTAGGATTTTACCTCCAACTCCCAGGACTTTCACAATCATTTACTGACTTTATTTATTGCAAATACATGTTCTCATTAAGGCTCAGTAGCTGCCTCTCAGGAGAGATGATAACAGGAGCGCTGGATGGCTTTCTGTTTGATGGAGCGCTGGAAACAGAGGCCAGGAAGGGAGGTAGGCTTCCAAGCCAAAAAACCCCTGACAAACGCCTCACTAATGCTCAGACTCACATTAACCCACTGCCAGAGAGCATCTGAAGTACAGCGTGCTCATGGGTGGTTGTAGTTACTCACATTTGTACATAAATACACATAAATAAGGACCTTGAAGTTTTATGTTTCATGAACGTAATGATAACTCGACTTGTTATTCTGTGTTTCTAGCTGGCACGCTGACACGCTGACCTGATCTGGCCTGAGATAGTGTTAAAAATGACTGCTGATGGGCTGCTCTGCGTTATATCGGAGGAGCTGGCTGCAAGCTTGACAAAGAGAAATACCACACACACAGTAAAATCATTTAAACTCCATTACTTAACTATAAACAATTTGCACAAGCAGAGCAGACCAACAAAGAAAGCGTCCAATCCTGACATCTGCTGGAGAAAAGTCACATTACAACCACTGACTTCTGATGTGCCGTTATGTGATGGTTGTTATTTACATGTTTCATTTGTTGCTCCTATATGTGTGTGAATAATTCAGTTAGGGATGAATTATGTAAATGACCAGACACAGAAATAAACTGGAAATGTCTCACTGCATTAGTATATAGTCACAAAACGCAGTAATTACCAAGTGTTTTCTTCATATCACTGAAAAATGGAAATAACAATTGTTCTTCCTGTGTCTACATTGTTAGTCAATAACTCAATTAGATTTTAGTCCACCCAACATAGCTGAAACAAATGCAAAATTATTGACTAACTTCTATTGTTTTCAAATGTACATATTTGCTGGTTTCCCCACCTACGTTGACAGGGATAATGGGAACTTGTGACAACAATTTCTCACTTGTATATGGCATTTAATTAAAACAAAAGTTATAATAAGTGCAACTATACTTTTAATGATTGCATATTAACGATTTAAGGATTGAAAGGTAGCCCTGAAAAGTAATATACAGATCCACAAAACAGACGTGGTCACTGTTGCAAGACTTGTTGAAGAGGTTTCTTTGAAGGTTTTTTTTGGGACTCTTTCTTTGATTTGACTCTGAGAAAAGCAGGATATTCCTGATCTGCTCTCTTACCTCCGTCTGATGAGCCGACTCTAGATCCTTCAGCTTCTCTGTCAACGTTTGGTTTGTGTCTTGAAGCTCCTCCAGCTTCTCCGTCTTACTGTTTGGGACCAAAACAGAAAGGTGTTATCTTATCTGTTTTTACTTTTAACACTAAACACTAGCCTGTTGGATTGTAATCAAAGCAATGTAGTTGTCACGCTTTCCATTGCACAAAAAACTCTATTCATTGTGGGGGAAACTTCTGAAGCAATAGGAGTCAGGACTCAGAGAGAGACACGAGGAGAGCTGGAGCTTTGATGGCAAACACTGACGGTTTATTTGGAGCTTCAGCCGGAGAATTCACACGACATGCCACGAGTTGACCACACAGTTGAGATGCCACAATCAATTCTGAAGAACTCTTTCTGCAGCTCCAGGTTTTAACTAGTTCGGAGTGTAATAATCAACATTCTTCATCAGCGAGACTAAACAATTATGGACCCTGAATCTAACTAGAGCTCTCGTCCATAGGAAAGAATGGGCGCCAGGGAACCTACGTCCCTGAACAGTAAACGACCTCATGGCGGCTTGTGCTCTGTCATAAACTGGCAACAGCAATGTGCCCAAGCTGCTCCTCCTTAAGAGAGATAGCAGCAATACCCAAGGCTGTAGAACTATGCCGTGGGAAAGGAGACAGTGAAAAGAGAAGATGATGAACTGGGTCAAAGGTTGAATACCTAAGCAAATGATTCCCCAACATTCATCTGTTTTCTTACATGAATACACAAGAATAAGCCAGTAAAAATGATCCAGTAATCCCGTTGACAACAGAATTTATCATCACAAAAACCAACCTATAAAATCATTACAAAAATACACTTTTATCTAAAATAACGTCATTACTTGTTGGTTAAATACAAACAAAATGTGTTATATGGTGCTGTACAGTTAAATCTCCAACTAAAACAAACTAAAATAATCTTTATTTTATATTATTTAAGTTTTTTAATTAACAAATCATTTGCAGAAATGACTGAAATGAGAACGAAGAAGTATAAAGGGCTTTAAGGCAAATGTAATATGTTATTATCTATTGTTTTTACAGGTGTGTCTTCCATATCTTCGTCTGATTTCTGTCTTTACCTCTCCCTGCTCCATCATGCTAATCTTTCACAGAGGAGCAACACATATATATTTTCACGGTTGTATAAATGCATTTAATTTAAGAGTCAATGAGTTAAATACAAAATATTGAAATATCTCTGTTGATGTGGAGATGTATTTCTTCTTGGACTGAATCATAATGTGATAAGGTTTTCTGACACTAAGCCAACTCTCCACGGGGATTTAAACTCAGCAGCTTGAGGCGCGGCGCTGCTTTCTGCTGAATCTCAGGTACGCTGTTTTCCTTCAGTCCTGAGAACACTTTGTGGGTTTTCAGAGCAGCTGCTGACGGCTTCACTTGGCTACAGTTTACTGCAGATGGTAATCAAACATTAGTGGTGTTTTTTTATTAAATTAACATTTATTTTCTTCTTCTGCCGCCCTTATCTATGTTAATGCTTGTTTTTACATTTCACTCGGTTTTAACAGCTGGGTGGAACATGGAGGAATGTGTTCAAATCACACTGTCAACAATTCAACATGAGTAACAAAAAAATGGAGGTGACCACAGACATGTCTTCAGGTATTTCCTCCAAAAGGCAGAGCTGTGGTCCTCGTCTTCAGCACAGTAAAGGCTTATACATTTTAGAAGGAAAATATGTTAATATTTAGTGAATACAATTAAGAACACCCACTAAAAGTGATTGTTTTTTAAAGAGGCCCTATTATGCTTTTTGGGGTTTTCTGTAGTGTGTTCTATAGGTTTTAGTGCATGTAAATGGTCTGCAACGGCTAAAAGCCCTGTGTTCCCTCCAGTTACACTCCGCCATCTAACAGAAACATCTCCATTGGACTCCTTTGTTTACTTCTGGAACATAGTGACATCACTTTGTAACACTCGCACTATTGGCTAGCGCTCCAGCACTTTGTTGGATAGGCTAAGGGGCGGGACGGTCAGTTTGCATTTCTACTTTTCTTTGTCGTTTGAAGGGAAATCTAAATAATAAGCGACCGCTGCTCTCCCTCTTAGCTATTTTTGTTACATTCTTTATCATGTAGTCTTCTTGATATTCCAGATTAAACATCCATAGTAAATGTTTTTTACTTCTCACAAGGAATCTATCTTGAGATATAATTTACATGAGCTATTATTTTTCATTTTCTCATGTTGAAAGTGTCACTAAATGTCAACAGTGTTTGTATAACTCATTTTTCAGATAACAAGAAAAGTGGGCCTACCTGCGCAGCTCTGCCTGGGGGCTCTCCGTCCGCTCGGCTCTGCGCTGGGCCTCTGCGTGGAGCTCCGCCTGGAAGCTCACTGCCTCCGCAACTCTGTGTTGGGCCTCAGCGTGCAGCTCCTCCACCAGGCCCTCCAGCTTACCCTCGGAGCTCTGCAGCCACATCAGCTCCGAGCCGACCTGCCTCAGCAGCTCCTCGTCCCGAGAGCTCTCCCGCGCTAGCAGCCCCACCCTCTGCTGCAGGGCAGACACCAGGTCCTGCAGACACATGGAGATACTAGCACATCAGATAAGAATATTATTTATACCAACTCACATACCTTTTAAATGCCATCTCCTATACCTTTTAAATACCAACTCACATACCTTCTGCAGAATGTTTATACACACTTAAATAGGTTTTCATTGATTTTATTGAATGAAATGTAGCTTTCTTTGTTCTGCTGAATCATGTTCATATCATAATTGTTTTTTTGTGCAAAGTCTACAATGTGCACCATCATTTTACTTAGAGTTTAACAATACCATTAAACTGTTACATTTGAAGAGATTTGTTATCTACTAAAGTTTCATAGTTAGGAGTCATACAAACAATATGCTATAGGTAACTTTTTAGCATTGCTTGCAAGTTAAGGATAATAAATAAAAACCATGCTGCAATTTGCTTATTTTGTACATATTCTACAGTCCTGGCAAACATTGCACATATCGTTATAGAGTAGTGTTATTAAAGTGCACCTATCATGCTATTATTAGGCAATAGCATAGGTCTCAGATATATAAAAATATATAAAAAACATGTCTATGAAGTGTTTTGCTCAAAATACCAAACAGATCACCCATTCTAGCCATGCCTCATATCCCTCTATTTCACTTCCTGTTTCAAAAGTGTTGATTTTTGGTATAAAGCTTTAAAAAAAAATTGATAAATAAAAAAGGAGGGGTCTGAGCTCATGCGGGACCCGGCAGCTACTGTCTAAACTAAATGCTGCCGTGATGAAACGCCATATCATGGATTATCAAGGATCCTCTCTGAAACAGTTTGGAGCTCAAAGGCTTTTCTCTCTTCCTGCTTCTTCACACACATGCTCTCCAGTACAGGTTAGCTCTGAGTGTTAGCGATGCTAATGTAAACACGACCATATTACGTCCAAAACAGTCGGGCATTGTTTCTGATAGCAACGTTTCTGATTGGCCCGTGGGTCCACATTTCAGATATTACGTCATATCGGACGCAAATCTGGATCAGCTCCGTTGTAGCCCCATTTTTAGAGATTTAGGTACGGAGAAAAAGAGAGAGGGTTTTATTTTCTGACGCTGCGTGAGTTCCCCGACGCACCGGGGACACATGTTGATGTATAAAAGACATCAAAAAGTGCATTTTGCATGATAGGTCCCCTTTAAAGTATGTCTTGATATTGTCACTTCAATAGTGAAATAGCTTGATCTCATCCGAATCAGATGCGTACATAAGATTGGTAAATACACTCAAATATAAACAACATACAGTAAATAGCACATATTAAATATTCATATTAATCACGTATCACTGAGGACTCCGTGACTTTTTCAAATCTCCCTGGGGATGTTCTGATCATAGGATTAAGTTATTTAACAGAGAGATATAAAACACACCTAAAGGTTAGAGAGTTTGTAACAAGCCCAAACCTGATGTAGATCTATGGAAAGTGAGCGAGTGAAACGATCTCTAACAAATACCATCGGGGTTTCAAGAGAAGCTGCTCGTTTGCTTCCGTCATAAAGTGATAAAGTTAAGAAGTTGAAAATGACTGAGACTTGAAACAAGAAGAAAAAACAACCCATTTCTGGAACACAAAGTCAAGTGTTTTTTTCTGGGTTTTCTCTCGTCTGTTTTCTTTCCTGGTGACATTTTTTTCTAAAATCCCTCTTTAGTTAAACTGCTCACAGCTCACTTCTAAGCAACCTGTGTGGAGGAGCCAAAAGCCCCTAAAAAGCTGCTACCCAGTGCCAAAGCCTCTGCCTTTACAGTATGTTAACACTGGCACTTACTGGTAGCCCAATTCCAGTGTAATTTCAGTAATTGCAGCATTGGTGGCTCGCTGCTATGGTCATGGCTTTGTGCATTTAAATGATGGGATTGTACGAAGGTTAAGCGCTACGAGCTCAAATTACACAAATTAAAGTAAAATAACTCTAAATTGGACAGAAATTGTCCCTAAAGTCAGGTTTTCCTTACAAGACTTCAACTGTAACATCAATGATTGAGGTTCAAATACAGCTATTCTGGGAAAAGTCATTTGGTGAAGAAGTAGCTCATGGTGAAGAAATATTTGCAAACCCTCTGGATATATGGAACTTTTCAATCTTTTTATTAACTAATCGTTTTGGTTTTTACGGCTCATTTGATGTCTGGTTTCTGTCCCAGCTGAAGCAGGCAGCTTTTTCAGCAAACAAATAAATCCACTGTTAATGTTTCAAGGACAAAAGCATTCGAGCCTAGCTGGGGGAAAAAGTGGAACGTTAGCAGGTAAAGAGCCAGATGTTAATCTCAGGTGAAGGTGGAGACCAAAACTAAAGCCATAATAAGAGTGAATTTGGACTTAAATGAATCAGCTATGGAAAAAGGCTCCAAATCAATGTTAATGTCATCATGTATAAGGGACCCAATGGCAAAACAAATCTTTTACCACAACATAAAATATAGAAAAATGTATGTAGAAGTAGTTTTTGTGGCCACTTGAGAACAATTAGTCAAATAGTGGCTCTATTTAAGACCTGAATACAATATATCGAGATAATAAATTGCATATAGTTTGTTTCCGAGTTTTTTCTATTTTCCTGAGTAGCTTTACTTCAGTTTGAATCTAATTATAAAGTACTACTCTTGCTGCTAAAGGTGAACCGACTGTGGAGGGAATTCTTAAATGATTCACGGACAAAGTTTGTCTTTTGTTATATTTAATAAAGTAACAAAGAAAGTCAATATACAAGTGAAATGGATCCCAAATAAAAGGCAATCAGAGTATTATGCTGCGTTTCCATTACAGTTTAGGAACTGGGGTAGTAACTATAGTAATGCAGTGTAGGCGGAGCCGTGACGTAATCTTCAATGCAAACCACAAAACCAACATCAGCCGTTAGCTGTTAGCACTCAGAGCTCACAGCTCCTCATATCTGTTCAGACAAAAGTTAAACAAGTTCAAACCACAGACTGTCTGTGTCATGGAGAATACAGTCGCTGGTTTATTTATGTCTGTAGGCCGTTGTTGTGAGTGTGGACGGACGGAGCATATACTGCGTTAGCTTAGCCGATCTCCATTCAGAAAACACGCATTTTAAAAGGTTTTTCGCCTGCCGTCTGTCTGCAGACTTGTCAAAGCATTAATTCATGGTTTTTACTAACCGGTATCAGTATGTTGTTACTTCGGCATCATTTTGAAACGTGTATTACAATTAAATAACGGTAAAATATGTTAATTTTGTTGTAGTTGCCAGCGATTCTTTCACTAGTTTAGCATACTCAGCCCGGTTGTTGGCCCGGAAAGAACCTCGATTTTGGAGGGCCAGAAAAACTGTGAAAAATTACCCGCTAGCTGGAACTACGCCTAGTGGAAACGCAACCAAAAACGGGCCGGGTTTGGCACGGCACGCTTAAACCGCGCTACGCTCTGCAGTGGAAATGCACCATAAGACTATATGTTTTAAATTATTATATTGTAGAGCCGATGAATGGGAGTTGGAGGCGGTGTGTTCAGTATGGAACTCCACACTTTATTATCAAAGAACATTCAGAATTCACATGTAAACAAAGTCTGTGCGGCGGGGAGGAACGACGCGCCGACCCCCACGACTCCTGAGCACGGGAGCTGGAGAAGCGGCATCCGCCTGTGCGGCCCCCGGAAGAGGAGGGACCGGAAATCTAAGTCCAGGTGAGCAGCCTTCACCCGGTCTACCGAGACGTGCTCGGCTTTGCCACCCAGGTCGACCACCATGTGCTTGTCCCCGTGCTCCAAAACCCGGAAAGGTCCATCGTAAGGGGGTTGAAGGGGGCCTCTGTGCGTGTCGTGCCGGATGAATACGTGCTCCGCGGGAACCCGGCACACTTGAGTACCGTGCTGAGTAGTAGGGATCGGAGCAAAGGTCTCAGCGGCGTCCAGCAGGAAAGCCCGTTGGGCCGACGGCGACCAGGGAGCCGATGCGTTGGGGAGGAAATCCCCCGGAACCCTCAACGGCTGACCGTATACCAACTCAGCCGTGGAGCACTGCAGATCCTCCTTAGGCGCAGTCCTCAGGCCCAGCATCACCCAAGGCAGCTTGTTGACCCAACTACCATCCGTAAGGCCGGCCTTGAGGGCCGCTTTCATGGAGCGATGGAACCGCTCACAGAGGCCGTTAGCCTGAGGGTGGTAAGCGGTAGTCCTGTGCAGCTTAACCCCCAAACCACTCGCCACTGCATTCCAGAGCTCGGACGTGAACTGTGAGCCCCTGTCCGAGGAAATGTCTGACGGGGTGCCAAAACGACACACCCACGTCGCAATGAAAGCCCGGGCAATGTCTGCGGCTGATGTTGACACGAGAGGAACCGCCTCCGGCCAACGGGTCGTCCTGTCCACCATGGTGAGAAGGTAGGAAAAGCCCTGAGAGGAGGGCAATGGACCAACCAGGTCGATGTTGACGTGGTCAAACCTCCTCTCAGGCACCAGGAAACGCTCCAAAGGGGCCTTCGTGTGGCGGTGCGCCTTCGTGTGGCGGTGCGCCTTCGTGTGGCGGTGCGCCTTCGTGTGGCGGTGCGCCTTCGTGTGGCGGTGCACCTTAGCGCGCTGACAAGCGACGCACTCACCAGCCTCACGTCCTTTTTCAGCCCATGCCAGACGAACTTCGCGGCCACCAAGCGCACTGAAGGCTTAACGCCGGGGTGTGACAGTCCGTGCCAGTAGCGTAGGCAGAAATGTACTTTAGGGTGGGCCTGTAAAAAATAGGGTGGGCCAGATTTTTCTTCTGCGCATCAGAAGCTAACAACAATCCCCGCCGGTACCGGTGGCAGATTACTTTTAGAATACTTTTGGAATACCTTCTTTTTTCATAACAGATGGGTATGTTTTGGTGAACAGGAGACACGTATTTTACTGTTTTAATGGCTTATCAAGAGCACAAACACAACATCTTGGTGTCATTCTGGACAGCTTTCTCATCTGCACCACACTTTGAAAGGCGCCCCTAAATAGAATGAATTATCATTATTATTTATATCTGAAACGATGTAATAACTTTTAAAACTTTTTCCAGTCACTTGCCCCATGCATTCAGCAGCAGCAGGCCATTCACTTTGATTTTATCCCGTCATCATTTCGACAATAACTTTCAATATATTTAAAAAGAGATCTCTCTCATCTGCGTGCGGGGGCGGGGCCTCACAGACATGCTGCAGCGCTGTGCAGTGTGCACACAGTTCTGCCGGTAATGAATATTGCATTTTGTGAGGAAACTTTTCCACCAATAATTCCAATAAGTATTCCAAAATGTATTCACTTCAGGTTTACGAAAGTAACTGTAATCAGATTACTTGGTTTTCAAATGTAACGCCAGCTGAATGCACTTGATGTTTGTATTCTGATTACGTAACGCCGTTACATGTATTCCGTTACAACCCAACCCTGTGTATATCTCTCCGGACTGTCCACCAGCAGATGAAAAACACCCACCTCTCCGCCTCTTCCAAGGGACGAGGGAACCGTGCGGCAGAGTTTCCGTTAACATTGTTTTTCTCCTGACAGCCCAGCAGCAGGAGAGGTGGGGAGAGGGAGGCGGGGCTATTTCATCGTTATCAGAAAATGATCGTATATCGCTGCTAGATGAGGGCAGTGGGGGCTCTTCTTGGTCTGGGCCCACCCAGGAGGGTAACGCCCGCGTTGCTGAACACCACGTCCTCCAAGCGCAGCCCCACGCCCTCCACCTTCAGCCTGGAGGCCAGGGTCTATGACCTGGTCCGCCGCCATGCGAGTATAGTCCAGGCCCAACTGGACGGCTCCGATGACGACTCTGGAGAGGCAATCTGCCACCAGGTTCGACTTGCCAGTCACGTGCTTAATGTCTGTGGTGAACTCCGAGATGTAGGAAAGCTGCCGCTGCTGACGTGCCGACCAAGGCGCCGCCACTTTAGACATGGCGAACGTGAGCGGCTTGTGGTCGACAAACGGCGTAAACTCACGGCCTTCCAGCAAAAAACGGAAGTGCTGCACAGCCAAATAAAGTCCAAGGAGCTCTCGGTCAAAAGCGCTGTACTTGCGTTCTCTGGGCGTCAGCTGGCGGCTGAAAAAGGCGAGTGGCTGCCAAGCGCCCTCCACCCACTGTTCGTGCACTGCACCAACGGCGTAGTCCGATGCATCTGTGGTAATGGAGATGGGAGCCGTGGACGATGGGTGCGCCAACAGGGCCGCCTGAGCCAACGCGGTCTTGACCTCCGTGAAAGCAGACTCAGCTTCCGCCGTCCAGTCGATCGCCTGGACGGCGGTCGTACCCTTCAAAGCCTCATACAGCGGCCGCATAATGTGAGCGGCCCGGGCGATGAAACGGTGGTAGAAAGTCACCATCCTCAGAAACTCACGGAGTGACCGGGCTGTGCGCGAGGAAAAGCCGCAACAGCATCCACCTTCGCCGGCAGGGGTGCTGCACCGCCCTTGATGACGCGGTGTCCGAGGATGTCAATATCAAACACCCCGAACTGGCACTTTGCAGGATTGATGATCAACCCGTGTTGGCTGAGCCTCGTGAAAAGGGCTCGGAGGTGTGACAGGTGCTCTTCCACCGAAACGCTGGCAACGAGTATGTCGTCCAGGTAGACGAACACGAACGGCAGGTCCTGCAGCACAGAATCCATCAGGCGCTGGAACGTTTGGGCGGCGTTCTTGAGCCCAAAAGGCATCCGCAGGAACTCGAACAGTCCAAACGGCATTATCACTGCTGTCTTAGGGACGTCCAGGGGATGCATGGGCACCTGGTGGTAACCACGCACCAGGTCCACTTTTGAAAACACCGACGTACCGGCCAGATGTGCCGAGAAGTCTTGAATGTGCTGCACTGGGTAGCGGTCAGGTGTCGTGGCGTCGTTGAGGTGGCGGTAATCCCCACACGGGCGCCAACCACCGTTCGGCTTGGGAACGATGTGTAGAGGGGAGGCCCAAGGGGCTGTCAGAACGGCGGACGATACCCAGGCGTTCCATGGTTGAAAACTCCGCCCTCGCTATTGCAAGCTTAGAAGGGTTCAACCGCCGGGCCCTGGCGTAGACTGGGGGACCCTCGGTGGTGACGTGGTGCTCCACCCCATGCTTGGTGGTGAGCGCGGAGAAGGTGGGCAGCGTCAGGTCCGGAAAGTCAGCCAACAGCCTGAGAAAAATGTCCGTTCCCGACAGCGAGCCCCACAGCGACGTCGTAAGCTGCCTTGCCAAGTGTGAGGGAGGAAAACGTCAAGGCATCAACCAAGCGTTTATTTTTAACGTCCACAAGGAGTCCGTGAGCACATAAAAAATCCGCCCAGAGGAGGGGAAAATAAATGTCTGCCGTCACAAAATCCCATTTGAAACGTTGTCCTCCAATGCACAAACACATAGGCCTCACTCCGTATGTGCGAATGCGGCCGCCATTAGCCGTCGTCAACCGCGGTCCATGTCCCCCACGAGCGACGTCTTCCCTCGAAGCAGGAACTACACTCCGTTGAGCTCCCGTGTCACACAAAAACAAGCTTCCCGAGACTCTGTCGCTGACGAAGAGAAGCCTGCTCGTGCCGCCAACGCTCAGGGCCACTACCGTTGGCTCCACACTTCTTCGCGCTAGTCCCGAACCGCGCGTGGTAAAAACAATCTCCTGTGTCTCCACGCTGGCTTGCTGCTGTCGTGTCCAGTCTCCCCCACACTTTCTTGACTGTTGCGGGGGCGCTGAGTGTCACAGCTAGCGTCTCTGCACCGGGCTGCTGGGTAGCCAAGAAAAAAAGGTTGGCTTCTTCAGCCAATGCACGGGGCTCTGTAATGGACGTGTTGGCTAGCGCCGTCTGGACACGGGAAGGCAAGTGGCGTAGGAATGTCCCCATGAATAAAATCCGGGGATCTTCCCCTCCTAGCAGATTTAGCATCCTCTCCATGAGCTGAGATGGCTCGCTATCCCCTAGGCCTTGAATGTCAAGAATCTGGCGGGCCCTCTCCTTAGCAGATAAGCTAAATGTCTTAAGGAGAAGGGCTTTAATCGCCTCATATTTGCCATGGTGTGGGGGGTCAGCTATAAATCCCACCAACCTGGATGACGTGGAGCTTCCCAGCGCTGCTACTACATAGTAGTATTTCAAATCCCCATCACGGACTTTTCGGCAGGCGAAGTGCGCCTCCACGTGTGCAAACCACGCCGCAGCGGCATGCTCCCAAAACTCCGGCAGCTTTACAAAAACATCGCTACTAGCCATGTTCATTGAGTCTTCGGAAACTTTCTCGAAAACGTCAGGGTCACCAGTGTAGAGCCGATGAATGGGAGTCGGAGGCGGTAACATTCAGACAGGTAAGACATTAGCTTGTTACTCGTTGTGAAGATAGCATGAATGAACCTAGCTTCCGGTGCCCTCTCTAACGGGTCCGTGTTGCAACACAATAACCTGAGGTGAATGATGTCCTATAACGTGGCACCACAATATGATAATTTGACACGACACCGACCTGTGTGATACATTTCTGTGGGACCACTACTGCCTTTTTTTCAGATGCACATATTTATTTGACCCGTTGTTTATATATGAGTATTGACTATAAGATGGCCTATATACTATAAATACATTACCCCCACGCAATGAGATTATTTCTTTCCTCGACAGACATGTAATTCCTTTCTTCCGCCCACCTGTTGCCGGTGCATCCTGCTGATCAGCTGGTCCTCTCTCATCCTCAGCTCCAGGTTCAGCTGCTCCTGGTGGAAGATTTGAGCGCTTGCAGCTTCCAGATCATTCTGCAGCTTCCTCTCCCGCTCTCTGGACAGCAGGAACTCCCTGTCCAGCACCGCTGCAGACACAAACAACACCAAGTCCGGTTTGGACTGCTCCACCACAGAGGACTTTCAATAAAGCGCAAAGTCTGTGCCACTAGTTTTAATGGAAGGTAATGAAAAAGCATGTTTTACTGCCCACAGCATAAAATAACCATAATGTTTGAAAGCCATAACACATTAAATGCAGGGTTATACATGTCAGCGGCCGACGTTTCTGGCATTGAAATACTTTTTCTCTCATTGGAGGTTTTTACACTTTTTAGACTGATGCTTCTTGGATCTCAGATCTGTTTGTCTAATTTCTCACGTTGTTATTGTCCTCATCAAGTACACATAGTTAGGGTCTGTCATTATGTCTGCAACTCCTTATAGTCATTAGCAAAGGTTCACAAAGATCAGGATTTGCCAGCGAGTGTTGGAGATATCAGTGGTGGAGATGTCTGCCTTATCTCTAATATAATAAAACTAGAACTAGAAAGATCCAAATATGATGCATTTGAAAAACTCAAAAGCAATGTCTCTTTACAGAAATCATGACCCGGTTACTGAAGATAATCCACGGACTTTGTTGGTAGTTTCATGTAAGGACTATTTTCTTTATAAATACTGTTCATTCATCTGTGCCTTGTTGAGAACGAAATGTCTAAACAGGATATAGGATGTTATTTTTATACGTCATACACTCACACTAAACCTCCAAAACTTAACATGAACGCAAGCCTGAGCTCTTTTTGCGTGTGTGTGCGTGCGTGTGTGCGTGTGTTTTCTGTTGCTGTATTGTATAATGTCTATCTGATGACTGCAGGTTCTTAATCTCACAGATATTTTATGTCGTCTTAATGTTGTTCTGTTGATTTTTACAAGCATGCAATGCAGGACAGATCTCCATGTGAACACACTAAAACATATCTGTATTATTATAATTTACTAACAAATGATGTCAGCATGTTTTAATGATCCCGAAGCTGAAGTAAAGCTTAATTATAGAGTGTGTTTCCAAAGCTTTGTAAAAGCAGGGACAAGAGCCTGAATCAGGCGGCTTCTGGTATGAATGACTTGTTACCAACAATTATGCAATTGTTGCCCTAGAATAAAACATGGGGACAATTTAATGATATCTTATCTGCACACATAGTAAATTAAGGCTTCAGTACAAACAGTTTCACTTTCAAGTCATGACCTTTGAAGCAGGTTGAGTTATATTACCTACTGTAGACAATGTGCACAGGAAACACAGGTTAATATTCAGCTTGAGTCTTTGTCAGTTGTGTTTTCTGAAAGTGATTAATTTTAGTGCATGAATGCATACTTCACCAAAAAGTACATTTAGAAACCTCAGTGCTTTTTTAAATTACACATGAGATTAGATTACACTTACATTTCTCTGGTACTGTATGTTATTAAATATGGTACCTTGTAAGCTTTATAACGGCATTACCATTTTTGAGTTGAGGATAAAAACCTTTCTGTATTCAAATAGTTTTTAACTGCTTTCTATGGCTTTTATGATTTGTCTTCTTTTCAGTTATTATTTTAGTTTTCTTGTGTGTGTGTGCGTATGTAAAGCCTGTTGGATTGCCTTTGTGTCTCAAATGTGCTAAATCAATAAACTAACCTTAACTAAATCTGGAGCTTTTGCTAATTCAACATTAAACTATGCCACGTGTGCAATTATAACATTACTAATTAGTGGAATGAATAACATTACAGGCACAAAAGGATTCATACAGTAACAGCTCTGTTCTTTAAAGTGGACCTATCATGCTATACTTGAAACATATATTGTCGGGCCATACCTATATAAAACATGTCTGTGAAGTTTTTTTTTTCAAAATACCAAACAGATCATGCATTTTAGCCATGCCTCATTTCGCTCTATTTGCTCTTTCCAGGCCTGTTTTTGCACGGGCTGATTCTGTGAGCTGCAGCTGACCACGCCCCCCTGCAGGAGAGGGGAGCGTGCTCTGATCAGCTGCTCAGAAGACAGGGAGAAAAAGAGATCTCCGTCCTCCGTGTTTTATTCTTATATATGATTATAAAGAGTCGTTATTCATTTGTTTTAAAGCTCAATAAATAACAAAGAAGACCTTTGACTGGCACTTTTCTAATTTTGTCCGGAAGATTTAAACTTTAACGGACATGTTGACCGGCGAAAAATGTTTTAACTGAAACTCTGCCGCACGGTCCCCTCGTTCCTTGGAAGAGGCGGAGAGGTGGGAGTTTGTCATCTGCTGGTGGACTAACCGGAGAGAATTACAGTGCTTGCCTCTGGGAGGGAGAAAAAGAGCCACAGCGGAGAATAAACAGAAGGGCAACCATGGCAACCATTCGCTCTTTTGTGACAGACTACAGCGCCACTTACAGGCCTGGCATATGTACTACAGCGTCTCCAGCGCTTTCGAGCGGCAATGGCCGGCCGTGGCCCAACCCCACATTCCACTGATAGGTGGAGAGTTGCCCATATAGGCGGAGCACCCCTTTTCTGATGTCAGAAAAGAGAGAGGGTTGTGTTTTCTGACACTTGGTGAGTTCCCTGACACACCAGGGACACATATTCATGTATAAAAGACGTACAAAAGTGCATTTTGCATGATAGGTCCCCTTTAAATGAGAAATGTTATTCTCACAGGTCAAATGACTTTTTCTCTAACCTTTTTGTGCTTCTTTCATATATTGTATTGCCTGAATCCAAACTTGAACACCAAGTACTTTTAGATACCACAGTACTGTGTGTGTTGAATTACACTTCCATTAGATTACATTACTCTTGTACTCAGACATGGTACTTTATAACTTATTTTGTCATTATAACTGAATCTGGGTCTTTCTCTATTTCAACTTTTAGTTATTAGTGCCTCAAGTACAGTAACAATATTAGGATTGACGGAGTTAAGTAACATTACAGACAATAAAGTATAACTACAGTATTTCAGTATTTGAAATGTAAATGTGTAACTTTCTGGACTCACCTCTGTCGTGCGCCAGGCGGCTGCACTTGGCCGTCAGATACTGGATCTGACTGAAGTCCTCGTCCCTGTGAGCTTGGAAAAACCTCCTCATGCTCCTCTGACTTTGACCCGCTCTCTCCAAACACAATCTAAAGCTTCCTCGAGCTTCCCATGATCCTTAGGGCCGGACGGGTGTGTCGCAGATGGTCAGAGAGGACACAGTGAGCATGTTTCCTGCATTACTTCACTGTGTGTCTGGAAGAAGACTTGCACTGTACCTGCAGCGCACCCACAGAGGGCAAGTTTAAGCATTGATCCAAGCTGCTGTTTTCATAAAATGACAGGGAGACGTGTGTGTGTGTGTGTGTGTGTGTGTGTGTGTGTGTGTGTGTGTGTGTGTGTGTGTGTGTGTGTGTGTGTGTGTGTGTGTGTGTGTGTGTGTGTGTGTGTGTGTGTGTGTCTATGTGTGTCTATGTGTGTGTGTGTCTATGTGTGTGTCTATGTGTGTATTTCTATGTGTGTTGATACCTGATGTGTTTTGTTGCCATCTGGCTCACTGCTTGAGTAAATAGAAATTGAAGGTTTAATCCGGCTTTATCTGCACTTTTTGTTAAAAAAAATTCCTCCCAAAGGCCATGAGTTCTGCAGAGAGTCAGGCGTGTTGCATCAGGCCGGCGTCTTCATCTCAGCCTCAGGTCAGATCCTTTTTTTTTATGACATAGGTGTGTGTAATGGATTGTAAAAAGGAGAATACCTTTGGCATTTAATGACATTGTGTGGTGTACTGATGGGATGTGTTAATACAGTAGTTAAGATGTTGAATTTCATCTAAAACTGCTACTTTTTTGCTTTGGAATTAACTGGTTTAACACACTTTCTTTGAAGCGTTTATGTGCATATGTACATGACACAGAGCTCATTTACACACCAGTTGATAAATATCTGTATAAATAAGACAATGTGGTCTCACTTTACTCTTCATTTCCTTCTCTTCTCACGGTGTGTTTTCATGTTGCTGCTGATGCTCTGACTGTGTGCTGCCAGCAGAGGGAGCAACGCCCAGCTACTCCTCTCCAACTCCTGTGAGGAAAGTCTTTATTACTTTGTAAACATACGTACAATATTTAATGACTTTATTTGTTTGAATTGTTTTAATATATCTTTTCATTTAACACCTGTTACCTTTTTCATGTTCACCTTATGCATGTGAATATTTCCAATAACATAATTTCACGTGTTGAATGATAGCCAAACGAAATTAACATTTAAAACAAAGTGTACAAAAACTCAAGATGTCTGAATAATTTACAAAGCTGCAGTCTGCTAAATAAGTATAGCAACAAAAATGTATACGCCTGCAGCTGGTACAAAATGCTGCGGCTCGGCTGCTTACAGGAACACGCAAGCATGAGCACATCACACCAATTCTGTCTTCCTGTCAATTTTAGAGTTAATTTTAAGATTGTATTGTTTGTTTTTAAATCGCTCAATGGGCTGGCCCCTCAGTACATCTACGACCTCCTAAAGGTGTACACCCCCTCAAGGGCTTTGAGGTTGGCTGATGAGCTGCTGCTTACGAAACTATATACTATAAGAGTTGTATAGTATCCTATAGTAAGTTTGTAGTGTTCTATAGTATTTTTCACCAGCTATCGTATTACTATAGTTTTTTCTGTAGTGCCATTTTACTAGCTATAGTAGCCCTATAATATTTCGATAGTAATACTATGTATCTAGATATTTGTAGTATTCCTATATTATTTTAAATAGTATAACTATAGTATAATATATAGTGTTTCTGTAGTTGTTTTTTGAACACACTATAGAACACTCCTATAGTAATAGCATGATATTGTCATAGTGAATGCATATTATTATATAGTGTTTGTAAAAGTATTACTATAGTGTTTTTTTTTGGTGTTTCCGTATTAAGACTATATTATTTTAAATAGTACTACTATAGTATAATATTTAGTGTTTCTGTAGTTGTTTTTTGAACACACTATAGAACACTGCTATAGTAATAGTATGATATTGTCATAATGAATGCATATTATGTAAGGGATAATGTGCAGCGACGCAGTCATTATGGGGAAAAGAACACCCGACAGGCTGATCAGAGAGCCCGACGCGAAGCGGAGGGATCTTGATCTGCATGAAGGCCATGTAATAATAATATAATAATACTATATAGTCTAGCAGGAAGGGCCCTCAGATTTTGAGATACTCCTACCCGAGGTAGAACAAATGACAACAATGATTTTTCTTATCTTTAGGGTCTCCCATTAATGAAATTGATTGTTGTCAAATTTTATTTTGGGGAAAAAAAATGTTTTTTGGGTTGTTCTTTAGAACAACCCCAATCCCTGAAAAAGAGACAAATTAGACCAGGCCGAATATGGGAAAGGTGACAAAAAAGCCCATAACTTGAGAGTGACCTCTCTTATCCTCTTCAGATTTGCTGAGGTATGAACCAGGTGGCTGTCCTACATCACCAAATAGTCAGACAATTATTTAACAAAAAAATACTGAATTATAGTTCTGTAAACTTAGCTTTAGTTTAGACGGAAAGTGTACTTTTGGTAATAGGAACATAGGACTCCATCACTTTTCTCTCATTTATCAGAAAAACAGAAATCCCTAAAAAATATACCATTACTGAATTGTCTAGGGTGCTATTGAACACTAACCAGTAGTTGTATGAAAATATCTGGTACAGTTCTATTGCAAATGAGATTTCTTTAGACATAGGCCTACCTCTTCTCTGAGACAGTCACATTCCGAGTGGGGGATAAGTGGCACAATAGCTTATAAATTAAGAATGCTTACTCTGATGGTCATTATATTTGGAGAGGGAAATACCGGGTGGCTGAACTACATCACCAAATAGTCAGAATAAGAGTAACCCAATAAAATAAAGTGTATTAGTTCTAAATTGCAAGCCTCTAAAACATAGGTGTAAATAGTACAGGTTTTATTGAAACTAGAACCTTAATTCAAAGTACAGTATATAAATCATCAAATAATTCTGTGAGAGGTCAAGTATATAGATACTAGAATATAATGTTAAATGTCAGGTTCCTCAGAAACGTTAGGGGACACATTTTGACATTCTGTCAATGTGTCCCCTGGTTGAATGGCCCCATCTCTGACAATCCACCCCTTGCCAACAGGACTCCATAACAAGGGTTTGGGTTCGGGCTGTGACACCATATCGCTGTCTGAAACATTGCTCTTTACATGTTGTTGAAATGCATCCTCTGTTGGCGGCAGATTTTCCGAGGCTGCATCAGTTGTTGATGCAATTATGAACCTCAGTTCATCCAAGTTTGTGCACATCAGTCCAATTTCCTTTTTCTTTTTTCCATATAGCAGAAACGCCAATTCTCTTGCGACTGGCAAAGACTCTTCCAAGCTGGCAGAGAGTCCAAAATGGGCCAGATATTTGAGCTTGCTGAGATAGGTCTTGAGTTTGGTGAATGCTGTTGTCTTTCCTATTCTGTATAAACTACTTGTTGTGCCACAGCCAGTGAGTGCATTACATGCTGGTAGACAGTTAGACATGTAGTTGCCGCCCAGCTTCAGGACCATCTTTCAAATTGAAACTGCTCTGCTTGCTAACTTTTATTTGTTGATACCATACTTACTATAGGGATGACTACATCATTATCATCACTATCATCATCGGCGGTCACTCGTAGTTGAGTATAACTGTCCTCCTTCTTGGTCCTTGTGGGTCTTCAGGTGGGCATAGAGGCCGATTCTGGACCCGATTATTCTTGTGCAATGTGGACATGGGAATGTAGTGGTGGAGGGTTTGGGTTGGACCTGTTTGGTGGTTGATCTCTCCTTCCTGAGTCTGCGCTTGTCTTGTGCAGCTTGGCAGAGATCATCATTATATAGTGCAGCACCCTCACGGACAAGGTTTCTCCAGGTCGCCCTGTCTGTTGCCATGTCTTCCCAAGCTTTTAGGTCTATGTTGCACTTCTTTAGGTTTGTTTTTATGTTATCTTCGTACCTCTTCTTTTGGCCTCCAGGGGCCCGTTTCCCTTTAGCAAGTTGGGAATAAAGGACTTGTTTTGGGAGGCGAGAGTCAGGCATGCGGATAACATGGCCAGTCCATCTGAGCTGGTTTTGGGCAATGGTGGCAGTGATGGTGGGAATGTCAGCCTCCTCCAGGACGCTGGTGTTAGAGCGCCGATCCTCCCAGCTAATCCTAAGGATTTTTCCGGAGGGATCTCTGATGGTATGCCTCAAGTGCCTTTAGGTGCCTGCTGTATGTGGTCCAGGCTTCTGATCCATACAGAAGAGTGGGGAGCACCACAGCTTTATAGACCAAGATTTTGGTCTTTGCTTGGAGGTCACGGTTCTCAAAGACTCTCTTCCTTAGCCTTGAGAAAGCCCCACTGGCACAGCTGAGGCGATGGTGTATTTCATCATCAATAACAGCTTTTGATGATAGGAGGCTGCCAAGATATGGGAAGTGGTCCACATTTTCCAGTCTGATGTTGTCAATGGAGATGTTTGGGGGTAGGACAGGCGTACTGCTGTTTGGTGGTGGTTGGTGGAGGATTTGGGTCTTTTTTATGTTGATGGCTAGACCAAGCTGTTTGTATGCTTTCGCAAAGGCTGATAGGATACCCTGTAGGTCCTCTTCCGAGAGGGCTACAAGGGCGTTGTCGTCCGCATACTGCAGCTCCATGATCGATATGGTGGTGGTTTGACCTTTAGCCCTGAAACGGTTGATGTTGAGGAGTTGGCCGTCAGTTCTGTACATGATGTTGACTCCCTGGGGCAGATGCTTGCTTGTGAGATGTAGGATAGCAGCAACAAAGATGGAGAATAGTGTTGGAGCGATGACACATCCCTGTTTGACTTCTGTGTCGACCCGGAAGGGTTCAGTTTCGTCTCCACTGCCACTGAGTACCGTGGCTGACATATTGTCATGCAGCAGTCTCAGTACCCGGACGTATTTATCTGGGCAGCCAATCTTTGCCAGTACCAGCCAGAGGGCCTGACGGCTCACTGAGTCGAAGGCTTTGGTGAGGTCTATGAAGGCCATGTATAATGGTTGATTTTGTTCTCGGTATTTTTCTTGCAGTTGGTGAGTAG